TTTCCCGGCAAATTCGCTATCCCTCGTCCTCCCTTCGCGGATTCCCTTCTTCTTATTTATCAGCTTGATGAAATCACCAGATTCGGAATCAACTGTGACATTGGCATGATTGAGTCGACGGGCGGAAGGCCAGAAAAAATGAAGTCCTGATGGAATCGCGGGGAAAAAAATGGTTGTTTGGCTGACTTTTGGGTAGTGAGCTCGACTGTGGGCCCCTGTCCGTCTTCCTCAAGCTCGTTTTGCATTTAGCTTTTCGCCCCTCTGTTCAATTTTCTTTTTTTGGAGTCCGAGGTACCTCGCTGGCACTTCTCAGATCAGTCACCTGATGCGTTTGGCAGCTCGGTGGGGCTACAGAGTTAGCCCACTTTTCTCAGCTCCTCTCCCCTGAAAGTGAAGCTTTCCTCCAAACGCCTCGGAGTTTATTCAGCAGGTGAGACTGCAAATGAGCTCTGAAGGATACCGGGAGGTCATCTGGCACCGGTTCACCCCCTAAAGAGGCAGCTGGGCCTCTCCCAGACTGCTAACAAATCCACTTTTAAAGATAAATCGAGCCTTCTGCTTGTGCGATTTTGATTTTTAAATTTTTTGTTTTACTGCTTTCAACAAAATGATTGTTACAAATCATTTGTTTCAGATTGTAAAGGGGTCACATTTTCCTGAAAGGAAGAGCTGGGAACTGAGCAGTAGCGTAAAACATGAAGATTTTTTAGAGGTTGAGCTCTTGACAATGTGGTGATGGAAGTAATGGAGCAGAATGTCATTTGAATGTTTCATGCTCACAGGTACACAACAAATAGATGTTAGTATAGACCAATCTTACAAGAGTTTCAATTGTTTCTTCTTGTTTTGTTTAGTTTTAACCCATAAACTAGAAATACATTTTTTTATTTGTATTGGTTTGCTCTATTGAGTGTTACTCAAAGAGATAAAGATTCTGGCATCTCTTTCATCATTTTTCATCACAATATAAAAGTAAAATTTATTGGGGTTACAATATTCCATTCACATACAGTTTATAGCTAATTCTCCTTGAAATATTTTAAAATAGCTAAAAACTACAGTAACTGAACCATTTATATATATATATATATATTTATATATTTATTTTATTTTAATTTTTTTGCTTTATACTGGTTCTGTCTTGAAGATGTTGATGATTCAATGTCCCACAGTGACGGGCTGCTACATCGGATGGGGGCTCCACCAAACAGTTGGCTGCCATTTGGTTTGTAAAAGCTATTACACGGACCCCGGGAACTAATCATTTCATAATTTTGAGCAATTTCCCATTGGTTGAAACTAAAAGGTCAATAACACATTATCCAGAATATTGCGTTTAAATTAGAACTATGCTGTTTGCATGAAGTCGGTTGGATGAACACTAATATCCACTATGTAAAAACCCGACGCAGCTTTGTGATAAATCGACTGAAGTAATTACGGGAAAAACAATATAAAAGTAAATAAACATAGGGCTCTGACAACTGTGACAGTAATTGAAAGCCTGACCACTTTGGACTTACTATACAGAGCCGTATTTACACCGACTATGATCACGTCCTGTTATTTTTGTGTGTAATTTTCTTTTTTTTTTGGGTCTTTGAGGCGTTTGCTAAAAGTTAATTAAGACAAATTCACTGTTGTGCGGGCATGTTTTCCTTTCTTTCAATTTTTTGGTAAATGACTTTTGTGGTATTATTTATAAAGAGGAGACAGCTTCATTTAACATATTTATCTTTACGGAAAAGCCTTCATTCATCACACAACCAGAGCCAGCTCTGTTGGATGCAATGTAATAAGTTCCGAAAGGGTAAAAAACTGGGGCACAAAGTTCCTGACGATCCTTTGAATATTTTTTGTCTGTATTCTTTTTATCCTCTACATCTTGGTCATGGTCCAGTGGACATGAAGCCAATCATTAGGCACCGGTTTGACCACAGAGACAGTACGAACAAGTACAGAAATGGTTGTCTCTTAAAGTCTCTTAGAAGGTTATTAATCAGATCCCGTCAAACTTTATGAGCACCTTTAGACCTTTAACGGTAAAAATCTAATAAGTTCACCATCAAGCCAAAGAAAAGTGGACTCCAAGACGTGGAAGAATCTCGTCTGAGGAAATTACCAACAGTCAAACACGAGAGGGTCAAATTTTAGCTCAGCCAGCTCAGATCAGAGATTTCAATTTTAAAAAAATTGGCTTGGATAGAGAGCATTGAGCAGAGTGGGCAGATCTCCTTAGTTTATGTATTTAAATGTTTTTCACCGTTAAAAAAAATGCACTGGTGTTTTACCACTACAAAACCAAGGGGTAAAACCTGGGTTTCTGTGTTATTCCTGAGTTATTAAGTACATTTGAAAATCAGATTGAAATTCTACAAAAATTTTACAGTAGCTATAAAAAACAAGAAAATGAGTAAGATTTTGGATTGTAGAGACCTTGATGGCTGACTTTTGTGCTCCTAAAATCTGACAAATCTATGGACGTTTCAGGAAAAAAAGTCCCTTGCAATATAATCTCCCAACATGTTCCTTTCAATGCTTATTTATTTATTATTTCATTGAGGAAATTGAAGTTGCATTTGACCAGAATCTGTCCTTTGGCTCACATATCAAACAAGTTTCAAAAGACTAGTTTCTTTCAGCTTTGATTAATTAAAAAAGTTTTTTCAAAAAATGAGACTGCATCTGTTATAGGTTTGACAGTTTCTTTGAATAAATTGCAATTTGATAGATTACAACTAATCAGATTTTAATTGCCTTGAATTTGGCCTTGAGATGACCCTTGTTTCGACTGGGTTAATACGATTTTTTAGAATTTAATTAGATAATAACAATGTTTTTCATTTTATGTTCGCTTACTGTGGAGATTTGATCGTGTCTGTTGCTTATCACTGTACAAATGTCAAAGAGGAAACTGTTCAGTACTAGAATCTGAGAGTTTTACTTAATTAACTTCAGATTACACACTTGTATTTCCAGAAAATGTTTCTTTCCTGAAGCCGAGCGTGTAGCCTCGCTGCTTTCTGCCGTTTAGATTACTCAATGCGAAGAAGAGGGAGTAAGTAGGAACCCCGTAAATTATTACCACTTCTGAAACACTCGACTCGGCAAACAACCCCGTAGATAACAGCCACTCTGAACGTGGGATCATCAGGAGATTGAAGACCTGATAGTGAGATCAGACGTGCTCTTTAGTCACACCTGCCACAACAAAAACACAAATAATGGATGACTGCATTACCTGCAATTAAACAAGATTAAGGATGGGAGGTTTAAAGGTTCATAAGGGCGTCCTCGCTGATGCATCGTGTATTAAATTTCCACGGGAAAGTAAAGTCATCGTTCTGTCAAAAGTGCTCTTGAGATGACTTTATCTTCTTCCTCCTTTGGTGAAAAGGGGGATCTATGACTCCAGCTGCCAGCAGCTGACACTGACACAGATACACCGATACTCCCAAAGAGTTACAACCACAAGCATAACAGTGCACATAAATAAAGAACGTAAGAAAGAAAAGCAAAAATACGATTTTTTTTTTTTAAAACAGGAACATTTTTTAAACCAGAACTTCAATCTAAAGAAAGCTAACGGCTAATACAAACTAATGTGCATATGGAAAATCTTAATGGTCGGCCATCATTGCTAACACAGTAGAAGTGAGATATCTTCATATCCCAATCTGCTTGCAAATTATTGCGAAAAGTCGCAATATTGAGAAAAAAGTCACAGTACTCCTCATGGAGATTGGTAGCTCAATTTTTATACAAGTTCCTGCTTCAAAAGCACAAGACTAGCCGGGAGCTAGACGTCGGAAGAGGGAGTTTCTGGTTAGCTTACGCGCTAAATGCTATCACTGGCTTGCTAGCTTCTCAAAAATAATTTTCTCCAAATCAAAGCCTGTAAGTAGTTTACATGATCTGTCAGTGGCATATCTCAGCTACCGAAAAAACGTGTAAAAATATGACTATTCAAAGCAGATAGCCTTAGCAACAGCATTTCTCTTCTACGTCATTGGGCCATAGAGTTTCTACTTTTATTTCAGATCTTAGCAAAAGTGAACCAAGAGTTGATAATTGCTTAAGAAGTCAAATCTGAAGTCACTGCTTAATTTAGACATAACCGCGGAACCTTAATTCATTACACTGCAAGCTCATTTCAAAAAGACATTTAATTAGACCATTTAAGCCATCATATTATCCAGCTGTTCTGACTTATTAGCTGCTCAATGGCTTATGTGACTCCAGATTCCCGGCCTGAGCTCCTGATTGCTCTGCAGCACCGCGGCAACAGCTTGCACTAAGACTCTGAAACAGAGTGCCAGCCAAAAGGAAGTTGTTTATCTGAACACAGGTGATGGGGAGTACTCAGGGGAAAGGTCAGAGCTTTTATGGGATAATATTCTTCTTAAAAAAAAAAAAAAAAAAAAAAAAAAAAAAAAAAAAAAAAATAGTCCGGGCGCAGGTGGACCATTTCTGCTAAACAAGAAAAGCATTCTGCTAAATTGGCTTTATTGATTTTTCCAAAGTTAAACAGCGTGTGTCAGAAATGTTTTACAATAGTTCCTCGCTTTTTCCTCCCGTCTGGCCCTCCGTTTATTATCTTAGAAAATGGCTCCGCGGAAATTTCAGGGTGACAAGGTGACGGTGGAAAAAGGCGGCCTCGTGACTGGTTCACACCAAGTGAGATGAAAAGAAAAACAAACAAACAGAAAAAACAGGAGTATTCGGAGAAATTCCCTCAAAGGCTGTTACATTCCTATCAAACCAACTAAGATCTCACAACCAAACCCTAACCGGTTTATGTGTGAGTGGAACTCGTGCTAGACAGAAGGTATGAGTCCCATTCATTAGGGATTTTCTACGTCTTTTTACTATGGAGCTACACTGTGAGGGTTTTATCTGCACTGCATTCATTTATTTAGATCATACTATCCATGAACAAAATGCTGGAGATATAATACCTGACTCATAAAAGCTCTAGCGAAATTCGCCCTTGACCACAGAGCTGAACCGCCAGCTGCTGAGTGGCCGGCAGCAGAAGGCTGTTTCTGCACGGAGCAGCTCCCACGGGGGAACCGGAAAGATGAAGGCCTCCGGAAAACCTTTGAGCTGCTGGAAGAGTCGAGGCGTCCTCGGGAGGACGGGTAGGACTCGGCTTCTGAAGATCGCATTGCTTAGAACCTATGACCTGTGTTTCGTATTCGGCCAATCCAGCCTTTTACCTTAGTTCTTTATCTCACAAGGGCAAAACCGAAATGGGCTCTTATCCGTTTGGGATCGTCAACATTTCCAAACCACCCAAATTTCCAAACCTGGACACGATTTCCAAATGTGATTAACGAGGAGAAAGTCGCAGGGGTGTCTACGGGAAGCCAGCAAATCTGTTTATTAACGCTTTCAGGGACTTATTTGTTTAATGTGGTATGACATTCCTTCCCAGATGAGTCCCAGTCATTTGTATCCGTATTAATGAGCACCATCAGCTGCCGGTTGGAGACAAATCTGCCTCTTCCGCACCCTCAGACACTAAAAATGCGCAACAATACTAAATCAGGGACACCCATTGATTCGGACGTGCCCAAACTTGCCACCCCTGAATTAAGAGAGATAAAAACGCGCCGGTAATTGTGAGAAAGGAAGCGTGGCTGGCTTTTGTAAGATGGGAGCAGCTGCTTTGAAGACTATTGCATCCTCCGAAAAGGGGGCCTAAGATATCACCTTGAAAGATATTGAACATCCAGCCTCCAATGAGCCTTTTAAGCATTTTACAGCTAACAGGTCCCATTTGAAGAATGTCTTTTTATCTACCGGAGCAAAGGAAAACTTGCAAAGGTTTGCAGCCGAGCCTTATTCAACGGGTATATTTACTTAAATGTGCCGCTCAGTGGTTGAGGCTGCTTTGTGTGGTTGAAAGACCATCCGTCGGGGTTAGTTAAACCTCGTGCTGAACACAAAATATCACGTCCACCCCGTCCCTCCGAGACAATCCCGGCTCTCAGCTGCGCTTTTTTTCTCTGAGCTGGCGTCGTCCAGGGAGCAGAATCAATGAGAGGCACTTTTCTCTGCCATATTCCTCCATTAGCAGGATCTATTTAGTCAGACGGCTGACACTCGGGGCGCTGGAATTAGGAGCGATTTGTCCAGTTACCGAGGGGTAGAGCAGTCAAAGACGTCTCAATTGCGAAACGAGAGCGATCTGGAGTGGGACGCGCGGAGAAAATAACGCACGGCGTGCAAGTTTTCAAGAGCAGTCGCAGGACGTTGAGAGTAGGAAACCGGGGAGTGATTTATATATTTGCCAAGGGTCTGTAAAATGTAGCATCTCTCCGGATGGGAAAAGAAAAAGAGACTACAACACCAAACTGTTAAAAATTCGGCTATAATTACTCGCTTTAGCATAGTATGCTATAGCATGATCTATGTAAATTACTGATTGTTGTATTCCTTATAGAACCATAACTTTGTGTTAAAGTCCCTGGCTGTGTCCAAAGACTCTATTTTCTTTCTCTGATAGCATTAGATCCACAACATTGTTACCATATTTCAATGTTATCTGCATTAATTAGGACCTGGCCTGTTCATGTCAGGGTTAGGGGCAGTAAGTAACTGGCCAATGAGCACTCAGTAGTGTCCAGTCCTTTTGAGCCCAGAATACCCATTACACACGGAGTTCAGGGCTCTTTCCCGACTGAAACCCAGAGAGAGGTTTTTGTCTGTTAGAGCCCAGCCGATACACTTTGCCTGTGACCTAACAAATGTCATTTTTATACTTTTGATCTACTCTGGTTTGTTCTCAGGTTTCCAAATAAAGAATCGGGTTAACAGAACCCATCGGCAATGTGACCCAGACTTATCTGACTCGTAGGCTTCGACTTCATTCAGAAATCTAATGTCCATCCACCAGCAGCAGACTGATTCTCCTTCCCTCTTTTGAAATTGGAAAAAGGGGACGGTGTTCCATCAAAATGCCCAATATCTCTCCGGCACCCCGTCATCTCTGTGGAGGATGCCCTACTTTTTCAGCATTCTCAGAGCAAACAGACAAACAACGGTCGCCACCACGGGAAGCGTGCCCTAATCCTAATCAGCATGATGTATTAAACACAACCATTTAAGCTAGGGGAGGTCAGTAATTAGGCGAAGTTAGTCGCTAATTAACTGATCTCTATATACTTATCTTTGCGCAACACATGGGGAATATTAAAAATGAACGTGCACTCTCTCAGCCTCAAGGAGGGTAAAAAGTGAGGAAAAATCACTTTTCACTCATTATTTTGCAAATGTATGCAGCTTTGTGCTCTGGAGTTTAACTACATTTCCAACTCTTAGGGGGTTAAGACTAGACATACTGTACTTTTTTTATGTAATAATTCTTCAGCTTACATGAGGAACAAGCAGGGATAAAGACCTTTATGAGGACATCCGCGCATACATTTGAGCTATCTTTGGTTTAGTTAAAATAATGTGATCACTGGTGTGTCCAGACACATTTGCTGTCGACAGTAATGGAAATCTCTTCAATTCCCAGAGAGGACAGAGATGGGATCTGTCATGTCTGAAAGCATAAGGGGAGGACGGGGATTTATTGGCACCCAATCTCAATATTATGCTAATGTCGTCCGCTTCCCTATTTAAATTTTAGCGCCATTAGACTCCAAAAAACTTCAGGAAGACAAAAAGAAAAACATAATCTTGCAAATGCAGACTCGCTGCAAGTTTTTCTACATTTTAATGAGCGCCACAGAGAGGAAGCCCTCCAGGAAGATGGTTTTGCAGCGCGTTGCCATAGCGTCATCTGCATTTCCTTAAATATGACTGGTGATGCTCAAACTTTGAAACAAAAAA